CACTGAGTATGCAATAGAAAAATACATCATTATCTTCTTAATACAACTGCTCCAAAATAGCACAGAATACTCATTCTGTAAAGTGTCTTTCTCGGTGTGTTAAATATTTCAATAATTCTTAACCGGGGTGTATTACTTGACCACAAAGATTAGTAGCTTTCTTATATCTCGTTCTCAAGCTTAATCTCGATTCAATAAAGGGATGAAATGACTTTATGATAAAGCGCGGTGTATATATTTTAAAAAAAATTCTTTACCTCTATATCAGCAAGATCACTTACAATATCCAATTATAATCAAACCACTCTTAAAATAAATAAAATAAAATGAATCGATTCTCAATTGCTGTCCCTTCAAATACAATTCTTTATTCAAGAAACAAAAAGTAGACTTTAATGTTTAATAGGAAGAGAAATAAATATTTAAAAAAATAAAATTACCGGAAATTACCTCAATCGGGCTTAGTACACGCCACGCCGAGTCTCCTCTTTTCGATGGTGCTCGAGATCGTATGTTGATTTCCTTACTATGGCAAAAATCCACTCAATAGCTTAATCTTTATCAAGCCTCTTAGCTTGATTTTAGAGAGATGAGAGATGAATATGAAGAGAGATGGAGAGATCTACTAGCAAGGGGTTCCACCTCTTTGCCACTCATAAAGAACAGAAGTGATGTGTGCTACTAAAACATGGTACAACTTGGTAAGAGATATATGGTGCAACTTGGAGAGAGAGAGATAAAAAATTGAGGCGTGTCTCCCATTTGGAAGATAGCTCAATTTTGGATAAGTAGATAGATGATTGTTAAAGAGAGAAGAGAATACATATCTCATCGGGAAGACCTCTTTTTATATATTTTCTATCCCAAAGATTTTGTATCAATTCGTAGGGTTAACTATCAATCGTCGATATAAAGCGACTTATAGGGTGAGAGATTTTAATCATCAATCTCTTTGATCCACCATCAAGATTCAAAGAGATGAGCTAGAGGCCTTATCTTCCCTGTCTTAAATCTATTCCCATTAAATAAGAAAAACTTATATTTTAATATATCACATCTTTAATTATTAGATCAATCAATCTCGATTCAAAGATTTAGTAAATATCTCAAATATTCAACCTTATCACATGGCTATACCTAAAAAGATAAACCAACCAAGAGGATAAACATTATTCCCAAGAATAAAGATAAGTCGAGTGGGGCGTGTCCGTGTGGCCCCACCTAATCCACATGTATTTAAATTTTAGACCCCATATTTTATGAAGGTCTCATATATTTTTAGAAAATATTTTATTTCATATTTAGAATTTTTAAATCTTATATTTTATTTAAAACAGTGAAAAATTAATTTCTCTTAATTTATAAATCTAAATGGCAAAAATAAAATATCGTAAGATTCACAAAATTCAAATAAACATTCTAAAAATCATATAACATGAAATTAATTAAAATTAATTAATTTTGATGAGAATCGGATCCATTAGATCTAGGAAATTATCAATACATGTGAGCACTCCACTTTCAACTGCGAATCACGATCCGCCGAGCTTTCTCAAACTGACCCAGCAGTTCCCATGACCAACAGTCCACTGCAGGGGCTCATGATTGAACCACCAAAGTCAGCCAATAGACAAGGGGATGCAATCCCAGTTTATAGATTTTAGGTTCTTCGCTAGAGACAAAAATCATGATCTTCCAGACCATGATGCAACCATGACTCTATGAAGCATATAGGTAATCTCTCGCACATGTACACGCTTTACCCTCATTGGTGAATCTCAAAATGGCTATCTACATGTCGTGTGATGAAATAACGATGAGGTTTTAGCTCTGTCTCTAAAGACTATTCATCACACGCAAGGGCCATACAGTCCCTTGGCTCTCATCTAGGCATACTCCGACCTCATCAAGGGCTAACCCACTAAACCCTTCTCGATATATCGTTATGCCCAGGTATCTTGGATTTTTTCAAACCTCGACTGGCCTAGCTCGTCGAACCTAATTTGAGTATCAGCAAATAACATTTGCCTAGTATGGTCCACAAAAGAACCACACTCTCACTGAGTTTATAATCTATTATATAAAATGCTCATACAAGCTCTCATAAGGCCTTTAAAGGCCACATAAACCCAAAAACAAAGTCCAAAGTAAAATTTATTGAGCTACATGATACACTTTAATATGTCTGAATTTCATTATGAAGCTGAAAGTGATTGTGACTTTCTTCTACTATAAATAAATAGTCTTTGGGGAAATGAACTGAAGTCGTGGTGGTAGAGCACCTCATACCTCAATTCTACATTGTAGCTTCCATTCCTACTGACAAGCTCAAAAACCACTATCTCGTTGAAAAATAAGTAAGGACGTATCATCCCCCACTGAATTACCCAAAAAAAATAATTAAACTTATGGTATACAATCCCAAAAAGAAGACAAAAAAGAGAAAAGAAGCCAAAGTCCTCTTATGGAAAACGACACTCCAAAAAAGTGGTCCAAAATACCAAAAAGTAATTCAAAATGCACATAATTCCTTATGATATAATTATATAGGGCCCTCAACCCCAATGCCATAATTTTGACATCGTAAGACATCATGTGCTCCCCACCATTGAAACCCTAGACCAAACCCTAAAACCACACAAATCAATAATTGGCCCATGGCAATAGGAACTCCTTTAATATTTTTACCATACCAATCTCTCTCTCTTAAATTTGCGAAGGGAATACTCCATCTCAATCTATGCATCTCTTGGATTTTGTCAATGGAATACCTTTCTCTCTCATCTCTTAGACGTGGTTGGAATGCCTCCCTCTCTCTTAGATTTCTCAATAGAATATATCTCTCGCTCTCTTGATCTCTCTCCCTTATATTTGTCAATAGAATCCCCATCTCTCACCATCCATCTCTTAGATTTGACAATAGAATCTCTCTCTTTCTCTCATATTAGTCAATAAAATACGCCACTAGCCTACAAATCCTTATGGAAAACGTGCCAAATGCATACACGATTGCTTTCAAATTCCAATTGAGTGGCCATTCTTCCTAATTGTGTCTTTATGAAAGGACACATGTGGAAAGGATAACTCAAAAATAATTTTGGCATTTGCCCTTTGTGAAAAAGGCAAGAGTTGCATTAGCTGTGAGGGTATAAATCGAGGTTAATGGCATAAACAAAAAAAATAGTTTTAGATACCTAATAATAGGGTTTTTAGGTTAGATATATGCATCTTGTCTCCTAAGTCTCAAACAAATTTTGGTATCTATGGCTGTCCAGCTATCAGAATCTCTCTCTCTCTCTCTTCAGAGGGAAAATAGCTTGAAGTCTACGGCTAGGACTATAAAGCAGCTCCAGGCATCTTTCTCTTTCCTTTTTCATTTTTTTCCATGGTGATTATTTAAAGAAAGGGTGCGGTTTGTATTAGGCCGAGGTTCTAATCAATCAAAGTAAAGCATACCTTTCAGAAATGCGGTTTTATTATTGAAAATATTTGTAATACCCTTAAAATATTTGTTTCATCTTTAATTATAAAATTTAAACCTTTAAAAAAAATATAGATCGAACATATCTATGAAAATTAGAAAATCTTGAAAATTAACTATCCAAAAATACGATGCACAATGCACTGTTTTCAAAACTTAAAATCCATTTTTTTTCTCATGTCCATCCATCTTGATGCCAAGATGATCAATTTGACAATATTTGGATATTAAAACAACCACTTCCAGTGAATTTTTTGAGGTGGGCTCTAATTCAATTGTTTAGAGCCTCAGCTCAATATAAACTTTTTCAAGTTGTTTTGAAGTGAAAACCATCTAGTTAAGCATCTGGAAAGGCAAGATTTATGGATATCAAAATACAAAGATTTCAAGTTTCAAAAAGAGTATATAATGCAACAAAGAATCTAGATTGTCTTCAAGATTTCGTGCTTGATTTGAACTGCTTTTGGAGCTTAAAATTTTGTGATTAGGTATAAAAATAGATTCTCGAGCCATCATAAGAACTTTTGATCCCAAAAGCGCATTTTATGACAAAGTTCAGATGTACACTTTATTTTGATTGTTTAAAATTGCAACCTTATGTAAACCACACCACCCATTGTTTGATGCTAAAAAGAACTTGAAGCACCATCGCTACACTTACTTGACCTGGTTAGGAAGATTTTTGAGAAGTATCAAATGATAAAATTGGACTTTGAATTATCAAATACTTAGATCTGACCATCTATAAATCTGCTGACATTGTTTTTTTTCGTGCTGACAAAATGTAATATGAATTTTCTTTTTGTGATATTTAAGTTAGGTGCCAAATTCGACTTTTAAAAGTACTGGTTTTGTACGAAGGAGAAAGGCATTCTTCATGTTGAAACTAGCGTTTTAGAACCCAGAATTGAGTAGTGGATCTGGCCTCCACTGTCCTGTTTCAGATTGATAGTTCCTATCTGGATTGATCGTTTGGAAAACACATCAAAATATTTAAAAAAAAAAAAACATTTCAAAAGTAAAATATAAAGGCACTGGATTGATTATTTGGAAAACACATGAAAATATTAAAAAAAAATAATAATATTTAAAAAGTAAAATATAAAGGCACGGCCTTAGTTCATCCGATCCAAGCTAGTGATTTCTCATTCGAATAACCTGATTCGCTGATAGAATAAGGTAGTTCTATTCAAATGGGTCGATTTATGGCTACGTAAGAAAAACAGACTTTCCTAATCCGTATTTTTAAGGGTACAGTTTCTATGAGGCTTGGGCCTAATGAATAAAAAGTAAAGCCTCACTTCAAAAGTTCACGTGGACAGCACTTGGGTAATGGGAAATCTCTATGATGCTTCTAAAATGGATGGCCTAGATAATTTGTTTACAATATATGTTATTTTTAAAGCTTGAAATTCCAATTTTTATAAGCATGATGGTCAAGGTCCAGATGAGGCTCTCATAAGACTTGAGCCTTATTTTGGCCTTTTCAAAATTTTACAAGTTTGGAAGAAAGGGACAAAACAAAAATGAAATTACTGAACTTAGAATAAAAGCCGAAAGTTAGATAAAAAACGGAGGCTCCCCAAAATATAAACTGGTCAGCTCCTGCCATATCCAAAACTAGGAGCATCAAGACCTTAAGGGGAGGGAGCGCACTTGCAGGGAAAAGTGACTACAAACTTATTACAAGAACCATTAAAAGGAAGAGATAGAGAGAGACCTAAAAACAAGGACAAAAAAAAATAATGAGAGTAGGGTGGAGGTTGGGGGTGTTGCAGATGCTGCTAATGGGTTTGCTCGAATGGACCAAGGGGGAAGCAGCAGTTGAGAGAGAGAGCTTATGAATATAGAACTAAAAAAGGAAGACAGAGAGCATTAAAGAGATAAAGAGTGGGGTAGATGGGGTTGTATAGACCTAAGAAGAGGAAAACAAAGGCCATGAGGATGGTTCTTTTGGGGCATATTTTGATAGAGAGAGTGAGAGATTATGAATATAGGCCTAAGAATAAGGAAAACAATGAGCAATGAAGAGGGCATATTTTGATAGAGAGAGAGTGAGAGATTATGAACATAGGCCTGAGAATAAGGAAAACAATGAGCAATTAAGAGAGAGATAGTAGGAGGAAGAGGTGTTGCTAGAGGGAAAGTTCTTTAGGAGCATATGGGGAGTAGTAAAAGAGAGAGAGGATTAATATTCCCAACTTCTGTTGCCATAATTCTCTAACAAAGATCAATCAGCAGCATGTTTGGGCAAAGAACTGCAACAAGGCATGGAGTGGAGAGTAGTCATCTCATTCCCCTCAAAACAAACTGAAACTGCATCTGTGTCTTCCACCATCCCACCCCATTCACTTGAACACTCTAAAACAACACACCAAAACCATCATCAATAATCACAACTTCAAACTGAGAATTATAACTTCAAAACAATAAGAACAAAAAAGAAAGAGACAATAAAGAGTAGTTGTAAGGTAAGGTTTAGAGAGAGAGTAGTAGTGAAGGAAAAAGAACCAAAATAGCACAATATTAAAAATAAAAATAAAAAATAAAAAAGAAAAGAAAAGAAAAGGTAAGAGGTTGGCAAAGAAGGGGAGAGGAAAGAGGGGGGGTGGGGTGTGTTTAAGATTTAGAGAGAGAAAGCATGGGATGCCACTAAGAATCAAAATATCAGAACGTATAGAACAAAGTAGGAAGTGGGGAATTTAAGGTTTAGAGAGAAAAAGCATGGCGTGTTACTAAAGAACCAAAATCCCAAAAAAAACAAAAGGTGGGGGATTTAAGGTTGAAACATAAAAAGAATGGGGTGTTACTCATTCCTATAACATAGACCAGATTATCCATCAAAATAGCATAAAAAGAGGAAAAAGCGAGGAAGGCAAGGTAAGGTAAAAAAGAGAGGAAGGCAAGGTAAAAAACCAAATAGTAAACATTAAAAAAGTAAAAAAAAAAAAGAAGTTAGGAAGTGAGAGATTTAAGGTTTAGAAAGAGAGAGCATGGGTGGTTACTCATTGTTTTATAATGTGGACCTAATTATAGATCAAAATACCATAAAAAGAAAAAGAAGCCGAAAAGTTGAAGGAGATAGAGAGAAAGAGAGAGAAGTTGTTTACCAGAACATGTTATGTGAGGGGAGAGAGAGAGAGAGAGAGTTGTTTACTAGAACATATTATATGAGGAGAGAGAGAAGTTGTTTACTAGAGAGAGAGAGGTAGTTTACTTGAAGATACAATGTGAGAAGGATTCTTGCGTTGTTGAGTTTGAGGCTTTCTTCTACGTCGGTTGTGATCTTCAAGCCTCTTTCTACAACTCCTCTTGCCATGGTCGAATTCAGAGAGCTCATGAAACCTGCAAAATGGAGAGAAATTTAAGAAAATAAACACTAATTTCTAAGTTGTGGTCATAATTTGCTTTATAAAGGCTCCTTGATTGAAACTTGAAAGGAGAAGAACAATGGCTGAGGTTCTTTATCTAACATGGAGAGGGAGTGTTAGGTGCTAGGGGTGTTTTTAATTAATTAAGTAACTAATCAATTAATTAAGAATATTGTAATACTAAAAAAGTAATTATTTTTATGGTTATGACCAGTGTTTTAAAACCCAGCCAAGTTATTCGCCATGTTGTCGAGTTTATCAGAAGGTCATAAGCGATTAATTTTCTTTTTATTAAATTACTAATAAATGACACAAATATCTTTATGCATAATTTTTACATTTTTTGTGATGATCTATGAAATTTTCTTGTAATATGCTTATTTTTTCTATTATATGAATTATTATTTGCCTTTTTTGGGGCTTTTCTGAATTGTTTCAAGGTATCAATCAATTTTTTCTGTATTCAATTATTGCTTTCTATTTTCTAGAGATCTTTAATGCATTTATAACTTCTTTAGCTTTTCACTAATAATTTTTTTAACCAATTTTTTTATATATTTGCTCTCAACTCGGCCAGGGCTAAGTCCTTAGCCCGAGACAACTTCTTGGCAAGTAAGAAATTTTTTAGAGGAATCCCAAGGTAAGAAGTTTGTCAAAAGGATTCTCCAAATTAAGTTCTTTTTTTTTTCAAGAAATTGATTCAAAATAGTTGGAAACAATTTGTAAGATCATGAAACAAAGAAAATTTAAAAGTAAAGAAAAGCATATGAAGGGACTATTTACTTTTAATAGAAGGAGACCACAATCACTTTTGTCCCTCAGATTTCAAATCCAGTGATTGCGAGTGTTTCATTGACTAGACTCAAAATTCAAAAAAAATAAAAACTTTGTGACATATCCCAAACCATTCAATTTGACATCTAATAGGTAGGAGCAATTGTAACCTCATATAATAAAAATAAAGGATTTTCATAGTATAGAATCTTTAAAAGTAATGCGTAACTCAATACTTCTCTTATAAATATAAGTTGTATCCAAGCATAAATTTATTTTTGATTTTTTTTTGTAAAAGATATTGCACATAAACCAGATTTAGAAAACCAAAGAGCAATTACTAAGAAAAACACCTCACTTTGAAAATCACAAGATCCCAAGATGAAATTTCTAAGAGGATCTTACCTAATGTGTTGCAACAACATTTTTCCACAGATTGTATTCTCCTTGGAATAATAATCTCATAGAACATTATACTCAAAAAAAAAAAAATCTCATAGGACATGTCCTTATCCTGGTTACTTGGTATATATATTTCCACACAAATTTTTATAACTTTTCAATTAAAAGTTCAAGACTAGCCTCCCTTGATCAAGATGCATGTACTTAATGCATGTACAAAGGGGTTGTATGCTATAAGGCCGAAGGAAGTGACAATCATCCTCGGCCATCCAGTGTAAAATCCAGTGCATTATAAAGTTTAAAAAAATTTATTTTAGATTTCATGCCCAAGCAATGGCACACCCCAGCTAGATTTCATACCTAATAATCGTGACTTATGCCAAAAATAAATGGCCCCTATTGATATACTTTACCAAGCAACTAAGCGCATATGAGATAAATATTAGCATAATATGTGTACAATATACCATAGTTATCAAGATTAGATCAGACAGGATGGGGCAATTTTGGGCCGCAAAACCCTAGAATTGCCTTGGTTCGGCAGTTTTTAGTTAACCTTTTAAATTTCTTATTAAAAATTCCCCAATCTGACTCAGACTCACCCAAGTTGAACCGTTGGGACTCGGGCTCAGACCCCTACTGTAGGAGCCTGAATCCGACCATTTAAGCACTACCATATGCACAATAGTTACATTTTGATCATTTTCAAATGAAATTGATATGGCTAAGAAAGATCTCAATAAAGCATTCACAAAATCACCCTCAAATAGCTGTTAACATTAAAAAAAAATACAAAAAAAAAAAGAAAGAAGAAGAAACAAAAATTGCAATAAGTAAAGCAACTTTCTATAACCAAATAAACTGAAAAATCAAAACAAAAAACTGTGTGATCTTCAAAAAATAGGGACACCATACCTGCTACATTGTTGGCAAAACCTCTTCTTATGACCACCTGCAACCACACTTGAAGCCTTAGAGTGAAACTCACAAACCTTGTGTCTCCTGTGATAATTCTTTGCAGTGCTCAAATCAACTCCACATCCATCAATTTGGCACCTTGCCCCACAAGAAACCTGATAACTTCGCTGGAACTCCTCATTCTCAATTTCCGGAAAATAAATACGGCCACCCAAATTCAGGCCGAAGCGATCCCTAGTGAAACAAGCCTCAGGTTCCCCTCTTATTTCTTCTTCAAAAAACAATGCCTTATCAACAATTTCACAACCCAGTTGATTAAATCGGACGCTGGAATTCGAAATTCTGGCCAGCCCATTGCTAGAATTTGAATTTCCAGTTGCCCCATTGCCAGAATTTTGGCCTGAAAAATGATTAAACCAGCTACCCATTGGGGCTTGACTAATATTGGGAAAATTTTCAGCAAAAGTTGAAGGGGTGCTTGAGTGGCTCATGTCTTGGTAACCTTCTCCTTCTTCATGCCTCAACTCATTGCCAGAAAATATCACATTGTGATTCCCCCATTCGGAGTTCAGCATGATTTTAGATGGAAAAATCAGCGCAACTACTTTCCGGCGAGGTTGGTCTCCCTAACGTTCAGTACTGTTTAGGGCAAGGCAACAATGTGAGTGGTTGGTAATAATAAAGCTCAGATTGATCTGGGTTATGTAAAACTGAACATCAAAAATAAAACCTATGGAAAATGAAGAATATGGATGGTTTGAGCTTTGACGTGATATACTTTTGAGAAATAATTTCTGATTTAAGAGATAATGGTGCATTTTAATTTCCAAAATTGTATGATTTTTACAGTTAGAAACAGTGGAAAGATGAATAAAGTATAAAAATTGAAGTAGATAAATGTGGAGTTACACTTCTGAGAGAACACTGCAAGCCATTAGAGGTCTGGATTTTGAAACTAAAATTAATTACTGTAAAACTCAAAGTAAAAAAATGGGGCCTTATACATTTAAACATTAGGGTTTTGGGATTAAGAGAAAATGTCAACTGTTTACTCACCTGAATTTTCTGGGTTTTTTTACTGCAAGAACCAGTGGATTAAGGAGCTCTGTTGAATCAAAACCAAGCTTGCAATGGCTTCAGTTCACAGGATATAAACATTGTAACTAAACTTCTCTAATGGGTTTTCACGACTCTGTAAAACCCTAATGCAAGGAGGAAGCTCCAATTCAACTTCAAAAATGGAGGATTTCTCCAAAATCCCTGGTTTTCTCTGTTAAAAAGGCTGGTCTCTTACACTTCACTGAACATCCACATAACAGGAACCAGAGAAATCAAGCTCTATAAAGCATGGGGTTTCAAGCTCTGAGAAACTTTGATGAGAACCACTTCTAGTTCAGGACATCATGAAGTTTTTGGGCAAAGAATGCAAAACTTGATCCACCATTTTTCTGATTTCACAGAGAAGTTAACAGTTGAGGTCAGAAAAACTTCCCCATAAACTCCAAAATAAATTTTTCAGCTAGAAACGCCGGCTTATATCAGAAGCAATGGTGAGAATCCGGCTTCAAATCTAATCTCTAATCAATCATGTCTCTCTGGTACGAGAGATTACTCTCTCTCTCTCTCTCTAGGTCATAGTTTTCTTTTCTCTCACTACAATCCTCACTCTATTCTTTCTCTCTCTAGTCTCCTACAATCCTGAACTTCGTATCAACGCAGCCGACAGTCACTACTCTTTCAATATTCCTTATATTCACTGTCTCTCTCCCTCTCTCTAGGATAGTTAGAATCATTCATTTTTATCTTCCTAGATTTCTTCATATCTCTCTCTCTAAAATTAATCTGCACACAATAGCCTCACCAGCCCATCTCTCTCTCTAAACAGACTGTAGCAACCTTCATCCCTCTCTCTCACCACACTGTACATTCCTCTTATCCCTCTCACTGTACTGTACGAGCCTTTACTTCTCTCTCTCTCTCATCATACTGTACAAGCTTTATGCTCTCTCTCTACTGCACCAGCCTTTACCTCTCACTAAAATGTACTACCCTTTAACCCCTCTCTCTCGCTCTCACACACACACACACACAAGGTCTCTCTCTCTCTCTGACTCTCACGTCTTTCTCTCTCTAAAACTTCCCTTTCTCTCTCTAGAGGTGTTACCCGTGAAGAACCCAATGCTTACTGTTCTTAGAAAGTGAGCACCCTAGGTATAGGGAGAAATTAAAAATAGATAAGGGCAATAAATTGATAAATGGGAAAAATAGAAGGGGAGTGGGACCTGATGTATCGCTATTAAAAAATCTGCAATACCATTTATATCTAAGTAGAATGGGAGACAGAATGAGGCACCTACCCATCCAATTCATGGTACAAGCAAGGAAAGGGTCCCAACCCTTTTTCTTCCTGCTGTCTCCACCGGACCCAGACGGCTAGGCTCCAGCCTGTCCGAGGACAGTAGGGCATGGGGCCACGACTTTCCCTCTAACCGCCGCCGCCGTCGCATTAATCTTCATATTACTAGTTTTATGTTATTGATTAATCTCTATCTCTCGATCTTGCTCTCCCTCTTAAGTTGCTAACTGTTGCATTAAACTTCATCATACTCGTTTTATGTTAGTGACAAATCTCTCTCTCTCTCTCTTTTTGTCAATCTGCTAATTGCTGCATTAAACCTCATAATATTCGTTTTATGTTAGGAATAAACTTCTCTCTCTCATAATCTGCTAATCTTTGCATTAAGCATCGTAACATCTCTCAACAAGAGTGAAAACTCTCTCTCTCTCCAAAATACAAAGAGACAGTAGAACCACGATTTGGGAAGAGTGAGAACATGAATTTTACGTGAAACCTGTCACAAAGTGATTGTGAAATGAGAAAAAGATTGAATCCTTGAATTCTGCACTTCTCTCTCTCGAAACAGATTGAACATTGAATAAAATCACATTTTCTCTCTCTCTCTCTGGTCCCCATTGAACACTTGAGCAGAGGCACTCATTAAGAAACGACTTGGTCAGAAATTTTTGATTAAGATACCCAATAAATTTGAGAGAAACGGGGTAGATCCCAATTTAGAGAGAGAAAGAGCTGTCGGCATGAAAGCAACCTGGGTTTGATGTGGAACTGGCGAAATCGCAACAATGAATAAGGAGATTCTCTCACTACTGCACACAACAAACGTTTTGGTGTTCACCTACAGTGTGAGGTTTCTCTTCCCCTCTCATGTCTCTGTCACACCCTCGCTCTTTGACTAACTAAGGGTGGCAATGGGGCCGTTGTCCCCATGGGGCTGGCTCAACCCCGTCTCCATCCTTACCCTGTTAGGCCTGGGGCGGGCCGGACCCTAACCTAAAATACACAATGCTCCGCTTATAGGTTGAAATCACAAAGGCGGGTTAGTCAAACAATCTTTTTTAATTTTTTTTAAATTGTCCCTCGATCATCTCGATTTATTTTATTTTTTAGTTTTTGAGTTAGTAGGGCAATACCCCAAGCTTTAAGGTACTGCTATATTATCAAGAAATTAAAAAAAATCAAAATAAAAAATAAAAATTCGGATTGACCGATGAACAATTTTGAAAAAAATAAAAAATATAGATTGACTGACCTTCTTTGTGATTTCTGCATAAAAGTAAAACATTTTATATTTTAGCTAGAATTTTAAGATCCATACATAAATCACTCGATTAATAATAGCATAAAAAAACAAAAAGAATGTTGGGCTAGCCCTTGAGCCACATTTTAGGCCTGGGCCCTAATTTGTTTTAGGATCGCGCCGAGCCGGGCCCGACTAGACTAACTGGCTAATTGCCAGCCCTATGACTAACAGAGTGCCCCCGTTTTATTGAAAAAGTCTTTGTCATGGAGAGCTAACATTACTGATTTAAAAAAGGAAAAAGTTTGTATAGAGCCGAGGCTCTAAAAATCAAATTACAACCTACCTCAAAAAATTCACTAAAAGAGGTTGTTTTGACACCCAAATATCATCATCAAATTGATCATCTTGATATCAAGATGTGTAGACATGAGAAATAAATAGATTTCAAGTTTTGAAAATAGTATACTTTGTAATGCATTATTGGACAGTCAATTTTCAAGATTTTCAAGTTTTTATGGATTTGTCGATCTATACTATTTTTTAATCTTAAACTTTACAAATAAACATGTAAATGTATTTTGAAGCTTTCACAAAGGTTTTCAGTATTGAAACTACATTTCTCCAATACCATTTGAAGGTAGGCTCTAATTTGATTGCTTAGAGCCTAAGCTCTATACAACATTTGGTTATGAATCGACAAGGTCAATGGCTGTAAAGTCGATAGGCGTTTTGGTTCGTTGGAGCCTGTTGTAATCTCTAGTATTGGGTCGATCCGTGAGGTTGATCTTGATAAACCAAAGTCGCAAACCACATCCTTTAGAAAATAAGAATTGGGCACCCCAAAATTAGGTCCGGATTAGTGAATTGGCCGTTCGATCGCCGTTTTACTCTACAAAAGGAACTGTGAAAATACGTAAAAAAGCAATGAACTAGCTAAAAAAGGGTTCGGATGGTTTACCTATATAAAAATGCCATTTTTATTGTGTGCAACTGCATGTTACCTTTAGAACCAACCGTTTTATATATATATATATATAAAAGAGATAGAGGGTAAAAGCACTGATTTTAAAAAGAGAGAACAAGAAGACAAATTTTAGGGAGTCTGAGTTTAAAGAGAGAGCAAAAACAATAATGAGAGAGAGAGACTGAATTTAAATAGAGGGTGGGTAGAGAGGGAGTGAGAGAGGGTGAATAGAGAGAGAAAGAGAGGATGGGTGGGATGTTGTTTTGATGCTCAAATATCCTCAACTAGATCATCTTGACATCAAGATGCGTGAAACAAAGAAAGGATTTCAAGTTTTGAGAAAATGTATTTTACAACGCAATTTTTGGATTATCAACTTCAAGATTTTCAACTTTTCATAGATCTATCAATCTATACTATTTTTGAAGCTTTAAGCTTTATAAACAAGAGAAAAAATCTTATAGGACCCCAAAAGATCGCCATTAAATTTGGTACGGATTTATAGAAAAGTCAAGTGCCACACCCATGTGATAATTTTTTAAGAGATCCGTGTCAAATTTAATAGTGATCATTTGGGTTCTACACACATGGATGGGGGAGGGTCCTATAGGATCATGACTTTATAAATAAAGATAAAAATATATATGCAGTTGGCATACGGATGCATCCGTAGCTGTAGAGGTAGCCTTCAAATTTTATCATGCTATATAATTTTGATGTAAAATGTTCTTAGGATTATCTCAAAATCTATTTTTATATTTAATTATAAAATTTTAAATTTCAAACATGGTTTAAATAAAGTAGATTTATAAACATATGGAATTTTTGAAAGTAGACGGTGTAGATACTATGTTGTAAAATGCACTATTTACGAGACTTAAAATCTTTTTATTTTGAGAAATTATCGCAAATATACCTTAAACTTAATTGAAAAAAAAAAACCCAAATTTTTATTCATCTCGTCTGCACCCTTTTATCTCATTTTTTAGTTTTTTTTTTTTTACCAAAATGACTTTCATGGTAGTCGTATTACCGTAATAGTTAGTGCATGTTGTACAATACTTTAAGTACCGTGATACTTAAGAAATTTTATAAGGTACTTTCAATACCGTAATAGTGGAGGCATTTTATATTAAGTACTGTAAACGTAAACTAACCCTTATACGGCATTTTAAGTACTGTAAATACTAACCCATATTATACGGCACTTAAAATGCCGAAAACCCTTTTTTCATTTTGTTTATCTCTTTCATCTCTTATTCTTTTTGTGTTTATCTATTTTGTTTCTCTATAATTCTTTTTAATATTTATTTCTTCTTTCTCTCTCTAATTTTTTTTGGTCTCTTCTTTCTCTCTCTGCAATCTCATCATCATTTCCTTAGAGAGAGTAATCTAACTATGACTTAAACTATGCAAAATAGAGGATATGATCTATCTAAAGAAACGATGATGAGATTGTACAGAGAGAAAAAAGAGATAAACATAAAAAAAATTAAAAATAAATATAAACAGAATCAGAAGGCATTTTAAGTGTCATATAAAATGAGTTAGTTTTTACGGTACTTAAAATGCCGTATAATGTGTTTTAGTTTTTACAGTGCTTAAAGTACCGTAATTGGCTTCACGGTCATGGCCAAAGTTTTACGATACTTTGAGTAACGTAATATTACTTGAAAATGATATGTATTACGGTAGTCTTACTACCGTAAAAGTCATTTTGGTCCAAAAGAATCGAAAATGAGAAAAAATGGTATAGACGAGATAAACGAAAGTTTGAAGTTTTTTTTTCAATTAAGCTTAAATTAAAATATATTTGTGATAAATTTCTCTTTATTTTTCATGAACGTACATCTCGATATCGAGATAATCGATCAAAGAGCTTTCAACATTAAAATTACTTTTTCCGATGAAATTTTTAGGTACTTCCGTACCTCTACATTTTACGGTTGCAACGTTATATAAACTTTTTTTCTTATTTCTGTTTTTTTTTTCCAAACTTTTCTCTTTGACAAATAGGAGAAAGCCACATGAACCTGGAAAAGCAGCAGTTACTCCAGGTTGTGAAATGTAATGAAAAAAAAGAAGACCAAGGGTAGTTGTGTAATTGTATTAAACCTGAGCAGTTTTGTTATATTTGGCCAAATAAAGGGTATATGCATAAAATGACGTTGATTGCCCTTTACCAGGTTTCCCTCTTTTTAGGGTTCGGCGTTAATCATTCCTGCGGAAAAGCCTTAGACCGACGTTGACTGCATGTACTGGTGATTTAAGAGGGAGAAAGAGGAATCCGTTTCGTACAGGTGTCAACAATCGGCCCACCCCTACAAAATCCTAGGGCATGGGTAGGAGTGGGAACGAGTCCGAATGTAATCCCCAAAGATAAGAATAAGGGGACTTGGATCTTGAGTCTTTTTACCCAATTGGATCGGACAAAATGAACAGCGATTTCGCTTATTTTCATCATCGTTTAAAGTTTATCGTACAGTTATGATTGTCTAGTAGTGTTTTGTTTTTCATTTTTATTTTATAAATCAGAATTATTTGAAATTTGAAAATGTGCTCCTCAAAAATAGGTGA